ATTTGAGATCCACTGGTAGATCTCCTGATGATTTGTAAAAAATCAGCAAGCTTTTTCACGTCTAACCTCCCCCTCCCCCATTCCTTTAACAACAGCCACAGCAAAACACCCTGTCCTGTCTTAAAGTAAGCTCTTAAAAATAAAGTCTGAGGTGGAACGGTGGTGTGTGTTTGTGTGGGAACTCCAGTTCTGGTCTGATATAAATACTCAGGACAAGTATTCCTCAAAGGCACCTCGCTAGTCCTACTATTGAGCAGGCTATTTAAGCAACTGGTTTTGAATGCCATGAAAGGTGCAACTTGTTATTTATTTTTTCTGAGCCTTGTTCTCCCACAGGAACAAGAACTTGGGGATCTTCTGCCTTAGGTGCTGTAATATCTTAGCCAGCCTTGGGTACTAAGCACTACGACGAGGGGACGATGGCACTGCCTCAAGTTGCTTTGCTCAGGTTGTAGAATATGTTGGGTCAGCTCTGATCCTATGTTTGCTTTGTCGTCCAATGTTCTACACTTGGCTCCAATTGATGGAGCTCTAAACCAATCTAGATCCTGCAAGCTTTAAACCTGCCTACCTCTACTTTACACTATCTTTTGTGTATCTCTGTGTTTGACAGACAGGATTTAGGGATATTAAGGAAATTCATTCAAACACATGGAACTGCTGGCATATTTTTCTCTTAAATATCACAAGACAGGATCAGTTTTAGAGAGGTATGATCCTGTTATGATTAAGCCTCCTGATATAAGAGGTATGACTGTCATTTTTGAAACAAAGTATTATGTGTTAACAGCAGGAAGACAAGTGTAGGATAGGAGTAATTGTTTCTCTACAGGTGAAGACTATTCACTTCTCTCTCCCCATCCCCCTCTCTCACACAGAAACATAAGTTTCTTTATGGAAAGATAGATGGGGTATAAATAAAATGAATGAAAATATATTTTTTATATACACATATATTTGATTTTATGTCTGTTACAACGATACTATTAAAGAAATAATAATACAGTATTACATATTGTCAGATCAATTCCTTTTTTTTTTTTTTTTTTGCCATTTCCAGGGTTTCTATGGATAGCCTAGTTAGATTTACCATTTCCTTCTTCTGGGGTACACAGCTTGCCCACGGCTACACAGGCTGGGTCTTCACCCAGGAAACACAGTGAGGAATTGAATTCCCAACCTCTGACTCAACAGCCAATGCCCAACTCACTGAGCCTTCCAGCCAGCTAATATGGAACACTTCATAAACGTGTATGTCATTTTGCATAGGACCCGTGCTAAAATCTATATTTTGTTCAATTTTTAGTACCTGCACTGCTGAAGTGAGTGTAGGATATTGTTGTTATGCATTGCTAATGTAAAGGATTTTTATATATGAGGCAGAATCCTATTGCTGTTTCCATAATTTGCTGCAGCTAACTGATGGGATACTGGGGTGTATATTGGTTGTGTGTCTGGTCATATGTTCACAACATAACTGAGATGTGCTCCAGCACTTCATCAATTAGCCATGATTAGCTTTGACAAGTTACACAAATCTTATGTAAACATCCATAGGGCTATGTCCATTTATTATAAAATGTGTATTAGGATCACTTTATGTTCTTATTTGAATTTCACAGGGTGTTGTATCTAGGAAAGGATTGATAACCTACTGTTGTTAAAATATACCATATAGGGTGCATTCTAATACACTTGTTTTTTGAAAAATTATCAAAATAATGCTGCTTATACATAAGAGCAGGCAGTTTCACGAACAAGTTAGTAATATTAAAAACACTTCATCCATGAAAGACAAAGGAAACACAATGTTCTTAGAGAGAGGGAGTCACACACCCACACAATGGGCTTCTATGCCCCAAAATCTAAAGGCTGATGGAAAGCTATTTCATAACAATAATTTGTAGCTCTATGTGATACTATTTTGCTGTCATTTGCTACAGCTGAAAGATTGTCCAATGGCTGGCGTGCCAGCCCAGATCCACAGGGAGCCAGTAGAGTTACACTAAATTACACCACGAAAGAATCCAAGACTATGCATTCTATGGAGCAATTCTATTCATTTCTACTCAAAAGTAAGCACCACTAAGTTCTACAGAACTTTCTCCCTAATACATTTCCAGCCTTAATCAATTTTAAGAGATATTCTAGGTAGTAAAAGAGTAATACATTGCTTCTTTGCTTTGAGGAAAATATCCAGTTATTTTTATTGGATTTAGACAACGGGTTTTCTTTTCATTTACAAACATACCTACGTGGCAGCCTATGGCACAGAATACTGAAAATGAAATTTGTTATCTGTCATAGGAGAAAATGATTAATCTCCTATTTCAGATGCTCTTGCCTACTGAAGCCTTGACCACAGGATCAACTACCACTGCTAAAATTTACATCAGCCTTTATCATTACATTCATCAGAGTCTCAACATTATATGTCTGTCACAACACACAGAGGCATAAACATCATCCTGAAAGTGTTGTTTGACAAGTCTACCTCTGGCCCTAGCTGTAACATCTCAAGAAATGGGATGCTCCTGACCTGGCAAACCTACTCTTATGCTAGCAAAGGGAGAAAAGAAAATTGGACATGAATGCTTCTTGAGAGGTACAGTCATTGGCATATCTTTGCATACCAGCACCCGAGAGCATGTTTCTATCAAACATTAAGAAAGAATACTCCCAGTGCAGTTCTTTTTATATCTGTTCATGAGTAGAAAGGCCTTGAGAATGTTTTTGGTAGGTTTTCCAATTTTTGTCTTAATTTTGCAGACAGTTTGGATGATTAGGATGATAATAATAATAATAACGAGAAGAAGAAGAATCCTTTTCTAGAGGGATTCTGAGAGTTCTAGTCTCAAAAAAGAAAAGAAAAAGAAAAGAAAAAAGAATAGCTCTGCTCTTGCAATAAAAAATGAGGACTTGGATGCTACCTTTATCATTTCCCCCATTTCATAGCTGGAACAACCGAACAGTATGAACCAATTTAACACTGAATCATCTACAAACTCATCAGCTCGCAGGGCCTTTGCCACCATGTTCTATTCATGTTCCATTCTTCCACATATATGTTTCTAGATCACGTGAATAGAGGACAACCAATGGTTAATATCAGGACAGATATATATAGGGACAGACTGCAAACTTTAATCAATGAATTATTACATCTTTCACAGATTGATCATTAAATGAATCAACTGCCACCTTAACAGCAAATTAAAAATCTCATATCAATTAATCATTATATCTTAGAGCAGTGGTTCCCAACCTTGTTTCCCCAGATATTCTTGGACTACAGCACCCATAAATTCTGGCCAGCACAGCTAATGATGAAGGCTTCTGGAAGTTTTAGTCCAAGAACATCTGGGGATCCATGGTTTGGAATAATTGTGTTAGAGCAAGCAAAGACTAAAGTCCTAACTCACAACTATGTAAGTTACTACCATCTTCTTCCTCAAAAAGACACGCTTTGCACCAAAATACTGTAACTAAAAAGGAAACTCAAAAATCCCCTACCACCACTTTGTCACTCAGTCTAGCAGGTGATTTGCCTTACATAATGAAGTATGAATTCCTTTCCTTCTATTAATATAAACCACAAGTATGAGTCACAAATAGTGGACAGTAAGTTGAAATCAATACAAGATTTACAAATATATAGAGTTTTGAGTTTATATACTTTACTGTTTTGTTATAGCGCTTTAAAAATTTGCAATACAAAATATTCAAAGTTCTGTAACCTAAAGAAAATGGCAGTAATAAACAAGGCATATCCTTCTGGTGCCAAATAGCACCTATTGGTTGTCTATTTCTATTTGAGGAACTCTCCTTCCTATATAATTCTTGGAATGGGCCTTCAAAGATGTTTTGACATATGTTTAACCTAAATGACTGCTGCTAATAAGTTAAAAACCAAACTATCTGAATATCAGAAAGTGTTGATGAGATAGGGACTGAAAGGTGCACAGGCATTCAACATATTGTGAGTTGAGTGGACACATATATTGCAAAGTCATTTTCAGCATGTTTGGCTAGTCCTATGATATGGGACGTGGTGGCACTGCAGGCTAAATGGCAGAAGCCTCTGTGCTGCAGGGTCAGAAGACCAGCAGTCGTACGATCGAATCCATGCAGTGGAGTGAGCTCCCGTTGCTTTGTCTCAGCTCCTCACCAACCTAGCAGTTCAAAAGCATGCAAATGCGAGTAGATAAATAGGTACCACCTTGGTGGGAAGGTAAAACAGTGTTCCCTAGTCACGCTGGCCACGTGACAATGGAAACTGTCTTCGGACAAGCACTGGCTCCACGGCTTGAAAACGGGATGAGTACCGCCCCCTAGAGTCAGACACAACTAGACTAAAATTGTCAAGGGGAACCTTTTACATGTGCCGGGTAGGACCATAAATAGATTGCAAAGGTCTTCCAGAACTGCAAACCAATCTGTGAGTTGCTGTGAAAGGAAAGAATCAAAATCATCACAAAAGGGGACTGAATTTTGATAAGAGGATGAAAATACGCATTCAGTATTGGGACCAGTTGAACCAAATGTAGAGGGAGAAATTGTAGGGAGAATGAGTACAAGCTAAGAAACCTAATTACATTTCAGTGGGCTTAGCATCTATGTTTTTTTTCACTGAACAGACAGTATTCTATGTATTAAAGTTCCTAAAAATCAAACCACACATTCAAAAATACCAGTACAGCATGCTCTGTATATGAGTAACCTTTTGCATAGTCAGCTATATAAATCAATCCCCACCTCAAAGTGGGTACAATCCAATGAAAACTGTATCAAGTGGTACTTCTGGATGCAAAAGTCACCTCTAATACTAAGATAAAGAGACAAAAAGAGAAAGAGAATATTGACATGTAGAAGATAACATGAAAGGCAACCTCCAATAAATGTATCATTCCTTTATCAGTGCCTCACATCCCAGCATTTGGTACAAAAAATTACAATACAAAAAGTCATCTTTGCAACAACAGAGATAATTTGCTTCTCAACCTCCACCCATGAACCAAATAATACCCAAAATGTTAACAGCTGTCTGCAGACACCATTTTAATCCATGTAAGCATATAATCCTTTTAAGAGTTGTATTAAAATATTTGCCTGAGTAATTTTGTGTCACAGTGCATTTTGCAAAAAACAAAACAAAAAGGAACTATATGTTATATTAAAATACTTCATGTGTTGCCTTTTAATTTCATTTGGTACAGTTCTGCTCATCTTCTCAAGGGAGCAAAATAAAAGCAAAACCACATGCAAAACAAATCTTATTTTAAACCTTTTCACTGTATATCCTTAAAATTTTTATAATTTCTGTTAGCAAAATTATAAACCAATACACGGGAAACAGTGCCCACTTAATATTCCCAAACTATACAATTAAAATATTAGGTTCTCATTTCCTGCTATACTTACAGGAAAACAACTTGACTGAAAGTCCGAAAGTTTCTGGCCTTTGAAACATCATCATCTATACATCTATGATTAGACTTGTGTTTATTGATGTTCATTAAATATGTGAGTGATGCATCTTCTGATGGTAACTATTGGATGAAACATAGTCACCAATTTATCTTAGATATAAAAATGTTTTAATAAATATAAAATAAAAAAATAATGTTAGTCCTCTTGAATCTTAAGCTATAGATGTATATATATGGTTGATTTCATGTTAGATATTCTGAGAAATGTTCCTATCACCACTGTAGATGGCTAATTTATATCATCTCTTCCTGTGCTGGTGTAAAACCACCACCACCACTTCAGAATACACATCTTACATGTAAAAGTTTGCACACGTCTATTTAATCATATATATGGGTATTGAAAAATGCCATTGTATCTCCCAGGATGTATTAGCATAATAAAATGAACATGCACATGATCCCTAAATATGATTATGTGCATGGGTAAATCCAAGATTTTCTTAACATCTATATAGAAAAAAATGTAAAAAGAAGACCTGCATGTTTAGTAACCATAATATTAATACTATTGATATGGGACTAAATCAGAATAATATTCAAGTATTACAGTTTAACTATAGTTATGTGCCTCAAGCAGTAGGACAGGTCTCTGGAACTTCATTCATTTTAAGCCCATGGGGGATGATGACCTGGAATGTTTTTACATTCACAAAGATTGATTATTGCAGTGCTTCAACACAGGATGCTAAATTTAGCCTTTGAACCCATCAATATTAGCATGAAGTACAAATGAGGTCATGTTAAAGAAGCTTGCAATGAGCACTGGTGGAATCAAGATTTTTCTTTCTAATCTTTCAGCAAATTATTTAGCTATATATACAGTAATAACACTGTTTTTGTTGTTAATAGGAAGAATTATATATAGTTTTATACACTTAAAGCAGTTCACCTGGTAGCTGCTTTCTATGAATTTTTACATGAGAGACTGGAAGTTCTTGAGCTGTAGTAATATACAGAGCACACCATTATTAACTGGGAGCAAGTCCTTCCTCTTAGAGGTTAAACCTTTCCTTGTAAGAATTGTGCTGCTGCTCTTCTATTATATGCTGTGTTTAAAAATTCTCATATGATGTGTATCTGAAATATTGCGTAGTACCTCTACGTAGGACTGACATGTTCAAACAGATATCAGGGTAATTATGATAAACTACACAACAGTGCTATTGTCGAGAATATTATTTATCAATCCTGTGGTCCCCATCATTCATGCATTTACAGTTTGGGAATACAGTGACTTCAAAGAATAATAATCCATAATGGCTACATTCTCAATAATTCATGCTTGCTAAACAAAATAATAGTAATAATAAAAAAAGTTTGTTGTATAACTGGAAAAATGTAAAATTTTATTCCAAGAAAATTAACAGGCTACACAGGTAAATTTTGGCAAATGCAACTTTATATTGAAATCCACACATCTGTTTCTTAAAGGAAAGACTCACAGACTCTAATGTATTTCTAAAATACTAGAAATCATATTATATGCTTTCACAAGTTAAAATTGAAATAATTTGAAACAACCAATACACCAAAATGTGCAGAAAGTATAAACAAGACTGTGCCTTCAGTAGAATAAATGCTTCACACGTTGTGCAAGACATCTTACTAAGGCTGCGGTCTTCCTATGACATTTGTCTTAAAATATAAACATACACTGACGGCCTGTGTTTCTCAGAACAAACTAGAATGGGCAACACACCTAGAGGGAAGAAAATCATATCATCCTAGTGATGAGCATACTGATTGAGGGAATCATGGGAATAATAATTTAAAAAAAAGGAATGAGGGGATTAAGTGATCTTTCATGCACTCCCAAAGGACAAGACTGGAGTTAACCGACTCACTTTTCTTTGCTTGTTTGCAAAAACGCTAAACAAAATGGAAGATACTAGATAACCCTTTAAGGCAACATATGGTTTATTCTGGGTAATGATTACTCCTTTGTTATGATTGGATAATCTCACTGATGTTGCCTAACAGACCAATATCTAGCTTTCAAAAATATAAAACAAATTGAATAAATTTTATATAGCAAACCAAGCTTTAAAAAAAAAACACAGGAAAATTAAATGAACAAAGCACAGAACACAATTTTATGCCAGTAATATTTCACCCTGAAAGAAGAACAGTATGAAGATATTTTTATTATTATTATTGTAAAAGAAAGAAAAAATGTATTCAGATAAAAATAAATTCTAATTTAAACAAAATCAAATCCAGAACACAAAACAGCTTTGGAATGCTCCCCCGAACTCACAAGGCAAACAGAGTGGGGTGATAATGCAGTACTACATGGCACATTTCTCATCAATTACAGGACTTAACACCGTCCCCAAATGTTAGTCTTTGTAAAACAAAACAAACAAAAAAACTGTATGAAATGATTTAAAGGTCATCCAGTGTCTAAAATTAGTTTCATCAACACATTAACCTCATGTCAAACTCAACTGATTCAGATGTCCAATGCTAATCTTTTTGTGGTGGTCTTGCTTTAAAGAGTGATATATACAGCATTTAGTGCTGATATATTTAGCACCTGCTACTCTCTGAATCATTCTCTAGATTTCAGCCACATCAAAACATTTTAGGGCAGTGGTTCAGTCCTTTATTTCTTAATTACAAACCTCCACGAGTGGTCAGCAGGAACATGTTTAGCTTTTAAAACAGGATTAGAGATGAGCTATTGCAAAAATTGCAGAATGTTGTTGTTGCCCAAATCCTTACAACTGCTGACATTCCCCTTTTTGATAGATATATATAGATTTTTCCCCTTTTCTTCTCGAGACATGGCAACAGGCCACAATTGCTTAGCAGAGAAGGGTAGTGTTTTCACAAGGCTAAAGATTTTACAGATGCTCCCTCATATAACACAGTAAGGTTCCCTTGGTAACCTGGATTTTCTGCAGTAAAGAAGGGTTGTGCTGAAACAGCGCCTCAGCTCCCTGTTGGAGAAAATGCAGACAAAAGGATTGATTCCAGCTTGGGCAAAACTCATCCAAACGGCAGCCGTTAGAAATCCCCCTGGAACCACAGGCCCTCTTGCAAAAACTCTCCAGTAACAGGCAACTAAATAGGGACCCCACAAGGTTAGAAAGAGGAATGTCATGATATAGAACATTCTGCTGATCCGCTTTTCCATTTTGAACTCATCCAAGACAAGAAGCCTTCTCCGGCCTGTGGTGTTGGCATTTTGCCTGATCCCCAACAGGGTTGGTGGTGTGGGGCCTCTTCCAAATCCAGCCAGCCAATTTGCAGCGGCCTGACCACTGGCTCCTGGACCATGAAACGTCCAGTTCTGGCTCACCGCTGCAACAAACTGAACTGGCTTCATTTTCCTGCGATCGTGAACAAAAAAGATCAGCTTGAGGTAGACAAGCTGCGTGGCTAGAAGGATAAGAGCAAGAAGCAGCATAAATCCCAGAGAATCATTGGCTCTGAAGGAACGATGCTGAAAGGTGCATTGGTCTTCCTCCCTAATAAAGGAATAGGTGCCCACATCCAACACTGGAGGAAAAGCCATAGCTACAGATAGGGTCCAGACCATACAGATCACAGCCAAACAAGTCCAAAAGGTCAGCCGTTTTGTATAAAAGCGGTGGTGGGCAATCGCTAAGTATCTGGTGACACTTATGCAGAACAGCATGAAAGCTGTATGAAAACAGGACAGAACCCCCAAGAACGCAATCACTTTGCAAGTGAGAGTCCCATAAGTCCAAGACGAACCATTTTTCACAGAAGTAAAAACAAAGGGGAAACAAATGGCCGATCTGAGGATGTCTGAGCAGCAAAGATCCAACAGGAAGTAATACGGAGCTCTGTGCAAGGTCTTATCTTTGACTAGCAAAATGGAGATCAGAAGGTTACCCACCACACTGACTCCTATTATGAAGCCCAGAGAAGTCAATTTCAAAAATGCAGTTAAAGGGGAAAGATTTTGCAAAATGTTGTCAGCTGCATGGCTGTAGTTCGCCATAGATGGATGGATGATATGAATATTACCTCAGTCAAGTCTCATGATCTATATATATGAACAAGGAAAAAATAGACCCATACATCTTACTGAGAATGTATTCCAAAAGCAGAACTGATCTGGTGTCTAGTCACATAGTACATCTTCTTTTCTTCCTCCTGATCTGTCATGCCATCAAAATATCTGGGGAAGGAAAAAAAAATCAAGCTGAGTCCTTAGGTTGATATACAAATGATGTCAGGAAGTCATGTTAATTTATGGAGAGCCAACATGTTAATTTATGGAGAGCCAAAGGAAGTTGCAAGGTAGAGTACTATTATTTGTTTGAGGGAATCTGAGAACTGAACATTTACTATGCAATGCCATAGGTTTATTCAGGACACCCCAGATTGCTCTTGTTTACACTCAAATTTCTTGGCAGAATATAGCATTGTATACCTCCTGCCTCTGGGTAACCTGATTTGTAGATCATCATCCCAGCATTGCTAGCTTTTTAAATTAAGCCACATGGAAACACATCCCTGTAATGAATACCTCCAGAATGCACACCTTTTCTGTTTATATTACATGTTTCAGAGCCAGATGCCGTGTTGATATGGAATATGTCCAAAAGAAACCCTGCAGAATGTATGTTTTCTCTCCCATTTCACCGAAGCAAATTAATCACACCCTGCTAGTTTATCCACAGTGAAAATATACCACAGAATTCTGCTTTTCCTGTGCACCAGTATTCCCCACCCCCAAACTCTTTTAAATAAATGCCAATGCTAAGCTAAGTGTTATGCGTGAGGGGCTTTGTTCGTTTGCTTTGGGGAGGGCACCAATAATGGATGTGTCTGTCTCTCTATGTGTATATGTATGAAACACACCCCAGGAATAACACACATTCACTCAGCCATTATTGAGGCTGTATTTAGACAAACATAATCGAATGCAAACATCTGCATCTGGCTGATGCTAATTTACCCTGACGCTGCCTATGTTTTTTTTTTAAATGTAGAGAACAAAGAAAATAAAATACGTTCTGGTCCTTTCAGAGACTTAGTGATGGGGGAGCCACTGTAATGGCACCACCAAGGGTGCTTGCCACAAGAGTGATTCTCCTAGGCTTTCTCTCCACAGGACTACACACACACACAGACACACAGTATTTTGACAATGGATTCAAGCAAAAACCTTTCCACCATTCTGCTTTTAGGAATCGCCTGGCTGCTTCTGCCGCCTCCACCACTGCTGCTGTGTAAACAAGAGCCTGATCAGATCATGACAGCATTGTTTCAAACACACACCCCAAAAATATAAGCGAGCCGGTAAGCCAACACACACACACACACATACACACATGGAGAGATCAGCTTCTTTACCCCCACCACTCCGCCCCAATGACATGCACATCCATACACAGGAGGAGAGGTGAGGCACAGAAGAATGCCTTCCCAGTCCCAATGTGAGGACTTCCCATAGGCTTCTGGTCTCTGCAACCAGCCCCCACCCCCCACAAAAAAAATCCGGCTCGTCTGCCTCCACTTCCATTCTGCAGCTTGCTAGGAAATTCGGAGAAAAACGTCAACCCACAACCAGCCTGGAGGACGGAAAAGCTCCCTTCACCTTCAGTCCAGCAACGACAGCCCTACCCCGAAGAGTCTTTTCATACATACCTAACACACATACACACACAAGCTTTGCTTCCCCCCCCCCCGCATACCTGTTGATGCTTTGGGGTGGTGAGGGGAGAAAGACCAAGAGCCTCCCCCCTCACCAGACCTTCTTCTTTCTATTTGCTGGTATTTTCATCCCTCCATTTATTTCTTTATTTCCAGGGTACCTTGGCTGCCGGAGCGCTGTAGTCAGTGGGCTTCGCCGGCGCATGCTCAGTGCGCCTCCTTGAGCGCCTAGCCTCGTCTTCCCCTGTCGCAGCGGCACAATCTCTCCCACTAACGCGGCGGCGGCGGCGGCTGTTCTTGCCGCCGCCGCCGGCTCAATGACGGCAAATCAGCCCCAATAGCAGTAGTAGCAAGGCTTACAACAGCGGTGTGTTGTTGCTGCTGCTGCAACAACGCTGAACTCAAAGAGTCCTCCTGGTCCTTTGAGTCCGGAGAGCCGGGCTGGCATGAAGCGGTACACTGCCCGCCTCAGAGCTCGTCTGCTTTCCATATAGGAGAGCCTCCCCACCCCCAACCCTTTCCCGCCACGTCTTTCTCTCTCTCTCTCTTTCTCTCTCTCTCTCTCTCCCGATGATGCCTGCATTGTTATTGCACTTGGCAGAATATGGGTGGGAGGAGGGACAAGAATGGGATGCTCCCTCCTGCTTCTGAACTGTATTCATCTGATTCCCCCTTTGGCGACGGGGTGGGGGTGGGGGAAATCTTCCGTACTATTATTTGCTTTAATTGCAACCAAATTGTACTTTAAAAAAAAGAGAGAGAGAGAGAGAAGCGTTTGGGGGAAAAATTGCACAAGACTGCAGGAATTAATGGAGGCAAATTAAGGCAGCAGAAGGACTGTGGCGTGCTGCCAGTTATATCTAATGAATGGGTCCAGGACCTAATGTTTTTCTCATTTTGTGTAGAGGGTTCTTGTTCTTGTGTGATGAGTTTTTGCCTGGAACTGAAAAAAAGATTTGCAAGTGTGATGTATTTAAGTGGAAACATTCCTACTTCCATTTGGGAACGGGGGGGGGGATGGGAGGCACACATAAACAGAAGGGCGCCAGCTCAGTGCTTGAGGAAAGGGGTTAGGTTTCTGAAACACAAATAATGGTACAATTAAGTTAGTGCTGTATTCTGAATATACTTCCATCATCAGAGGCAAGTCCACGAAAGCTTATGTCAAAAGAAATGTGTTGGCCCTCAAGAAGTCACAGGACCTTTTGTTGCTGTCATTGCAGAAATCAGTTGTCAATGCTACACAGGAATAAATTGTGGCAGCAAATAGTCTCGTTTTGATATAGCATTAATTAATTTCCAGATTTTTTTACCCTCTTAGCTCAGAATATTTGCTTGCAAGTCCTACCAAAGTCTTTTAAGTCAGAGTGTCTGGATTTACTAAAATGTATTCCCAATTAAGTATATGGATTGGCTTGCTTATACTGATGTTCCGTATTCCAAGGTAATTCAGCAAATAACTTGAATAAATCAACATGTACATTCTCACAAAATCTAGTAAATAATTGTCTTGTTCATCGAAGAAGACTAAGCCCAATACCAGCTCAAACCTAGAATGATTAACTGTCTGCAGTTACTTAAAAGCACATGGCAAATAGTATCAAATTTACAGTGCATATTACAATGCAGCCTTCTGCTGTTAGGTACATTTTACTGGATGATTGCTACAAGACGGGGCCCTACTAGAGGAAAAAAGGAAAAGAAAATGTGCATTCACATGAGAAACATATTCAGGCTGGACCTGTGTCATATGATGCCTGAAAGTGCCTCTTTAGGAACAGGCAGAAACATGCTGCATGTCTTTGAAATCTATTTTCAAAGTTAGTCAGAATAATTTTTTGAAGTGGCCCATGGGAAGAGGAAAGTCTGGGAAAGCGTACAGTCAGGTACAATTTTGCCTCAGAATTTGTGCAGAATATCATGCTGAGGAGGGAATATGAACACCTCCACATACGCTGAAAAGGTAATGGAAAAACACTGGCCTGTGGTTGTTCAGTTCTTTGAGGAATGGATTCTGCAGTGTTCCTACCTGGATTCACAAATATTAGGCAGGCTTAAGATGAAGGTTTGTTCTGTCATAGAGATCCCATGTGTGTCTGTTCTGTACCATGTAGAGACCCTAACAGGGCTTTCCAGGTAAGTGAGATAGTTCAGTAGTGGTTTTACCAGTTCCACTCCTCCAGTAGATTTCTATAGTTGAGTGGGAATTTGAACCCTGTTATCCAGAGTCATCGTCTGTCACTATCCACGGCACTACACTAGGGATCATACTGAGAGCCAGGGTAGTATAATGTTTTGAGTGCTTGGTTGCAACTTTGCAATCCAAACTGAAGTCCCTGCTTTGTCATGAAACTCACTTGGTAGCCTTGTGCCAGTCAGCTTGTGTTTCCACCCCTACAAGGAAGAACTAGCTATAAGGCACCCACCATCTATTTGTCATAGATAACAACCATACATTTTTATAGCCTTTATATGCACTGTCCGTGTTAGAATTCAGACCTTTGTACAAATGGAGAAGGAAAGAGGCTTCAAAATCCTTATGAAACATACCAGCATATGTTAACATCTGTCTTTAGACTATTAAAACCCAAGAAAGATATTCCAGAAGCACCAGAGAGATTTTCAGAAAGTTTTTGCATCTAACCAACCATAAGCTAACTAAACGTACCAGGAACAACTTACCAAAGCATTTTCCAGGAAGAGGCCAGAGGTCAGTCTTACCTCCTCACTATCCACCCAAGGACAAAGAAAGCCTCTTTCAAAGCAAATAAGTGAAGAAGCGGCTGAGCAGTTCCCAGAGAGGGAAATTCAAATAGACCAATCAATAGCCTTGCATGCCTTGGCTATCAGTGAGGAATATGCATAGATATCTAAACAGGCGTCTGCGGAGTTGCTAAGAAGTTCAGGCATAGTTCTAAAAAGGAGAGTATGTTACAGTCTGCAGGTTTGGAGTCTTCATCCAGTCAGAAAGGGCTAGTGAAGAGACCTGTGTCTCTCTTGCTTGGCTTTTGAGAAGCCCTCCTGGAGGTGCTATGTTTTCCTGAGGTATGGTCTGCAGGAAACGGCTTTTAGAGCAGCAATAATTTTCTTAGTGATATTCAATATCTTCCACTCTTTTTTTGTTTTGATGCTAGCTGAAACATTTGCCTACTTTTGCAAGTCTTTCACACAGAAAGGCTACATCTCCTCTTTTAGTAAAGATAGTCCTCTGTATGAAGGACTGCCAGAGAACAATCCTCTTGAAGTTGCCATCCATTTGTCCACTGAAAGTGTGATTTGAGAAGGGGGGGGGGAATGACAAGGAAGGAGATTAGGAACTCTGAAATTGCCTATCCGTGCCCAGTGCCTGGGTGGCAAACTCCATAGACACACAAATCAACTGATCAATTTTTTTCCCTTCTGAATGACAGATATTGCAATCCTGTTTAAATTATAAAAATATTTCTAATTATACCTGTGTACATATAATTTGGAGAGCCAGTGTGGTGTAGATAATGGGATATTGGATTAGGACTCAGAAGATCTAGATTCAAATTCCTACATTGCCATGGAAAATCATATGATTTGGCACAGGTAAATCATTCTGTGAACATCTCCCATACCTTGAAAATCTGTGAAGGGCATTGTGAACCAGAATACAGGAGATACAGTTTCATGCAAATTCAGTGTCATCTTTTCTCCTCTTTTTGGTGATGTAGAAGTGGCTATTATCCAACTTATCATCTATATCTCAGGTAGTGTTAATGTTTGGTCAAATTCATGTTGGTAGGTTAAATTATACTGTCCATCCATCTCATCCTCTGTCATCCCCTCTTGCCTTCACACTTTCCTAACATCAGGGTCTTTCCCAGGGAGTCTTCTCTTCTCGCCAGATGGCCAAAGTATTGGAGCCTCAGCTTCAGGATCTGCCAGTGAGCACTCAGGTTTGATTTCCTTCACAATGGATAGGTTTAATCTCCTTGCAGTCCAAGGGACTCTCAAGAGTATCCTCCAGCACCACAATTTGATAGCATCAATTCTTCGGTGGTCAGCCTTCTTTATGGTCCAGCTCTCACTTCCATACATCGCTACTGGAAAAACCATAGCTTTGACTATGTGGACCTTTGTCGGCAAGGTGATGTCTCTGCTTTTCAAGATATTGTTTAGGTTTGTCATTGCTTTTCTCCCAAGAAGCAGGCGTCTTTTAATTCCGTGGCTGCTGTCTCCATCTGCAGTGATCATGGAGCCCAAGAAAATAAAATGTGTCACTGCCTACATATCTTCCCCTTCTATTTCCCAGGAGGTGATGGGACCAGTGGCCATGATCTTTTTTTTTATGTTGAACTTCAGACCAGTTTTTGTGCTCTGCTCTTTCACCCTCATTCAGAAGTTCTGTAATTCCTCCTCACTTTCTGCCAGCAGAGTGGCATCATCTGCATATATGAGGTTATTGATATTTTTTCTGGCAATCTTAATTCCGGCTTGGGATTCCTCCAGTCCAGCCTTTTGCATGATGTATTCTGCATATAAGTTAAATAAGCAGGGAGACAATATACATCCTTGTCGTACTTCCTTTCCCAACTTTGAACCAATCAGTTGTTCCATATCCAGTTCTAACTGTTGCTTCCTGTCCCACATATAGATTTCTCAGGAGGTAGATAAGGTGGTCAGGCACTCCCATTTCTTTAAGGACTTGCCATAGTTTGCTGCGGTCCACACAATCAAAGGCTTTTGTGTAGTCAATGAAGGGATTCAAATCCTTGTCTCCAGAGTCCTAGTCTGTCACTCTGTCCACTACACCACACTGGGTCTTTTTTCAGACCTACATGAGTTGTTTTTGTACAAATATATTAAACACACAGGCATATGATGGCTAACATCCTATTCAGAGCATAAGATATACTGTATTGCACAAGGGTTCCTCTGATGTGCAGCCTTCCCTCGCCCTACCACTTTTGTGCAAGTTATCATGCAACTTGTTACTCAAGCAATCATGTCACAGTGTGAGGCAGGGCATGCAAAGGGGAGCTTTCTGGAACAGGGAGCACACTTACATAATCATCCTTCCACAACTGTGTGAAACAGCAGGATATTGGCAAATGCTTGCAAATACCATCCAATTCTGTCTCATCCAAGGAAGCAAGACACTGGATTAACCCAAAGTCTTCATTCCCACTCCTCTGATCTCAAGACCAGAATGAAAATTATGCTTCTCCCAGGTCCAGCACCACTGGATACAATAAAAGGTCCTTCTTTTGTGTGTTTCTTGATGGTGGGTTAATTTATCCCACTGCTAGACACAGCACCTACCAAGGGTCAACCTTGACAAAACACCTTGTTTTGCAATTTGCTTTCTTTGGCATGTTGGAAATGATGTTGCAGTAAAATATATGGGATCTCATAAAAAGGCTGGTAAAATATATTGCCTGACCCTCCTCATCTCCTTCTAGTAAACAAGGATCAACTCATACAGAACTACATGGCAGACAGTGTTGAAAGATATTGAACTGTCTTGTTTA